TCTCTAAATGTTATGTCAAAATTTAACACAGCATAAAGAAGTTAACAAACCTTCACCATTTTCCAGCTTCACCCGAAGAAGGCCTCTCTTTTTCCTTCCTGGATGTTTATCACCTTCACCGGAAACTTGCTCGTGCGGAGAAAAGATACGTGCATCACCACATGGTGAGGTGTTGATATACAAGTGGAATTCAACATAATCTCTTAAGCCATACAAACCACTTTCTTTTTTCTCAAAAATGGACTCTTCCTCATATCCTTCAGCACATAGTTCCAACTGAGAGAACAAGAAGCGCAGAAACGATCTTCTTGCAATGATTTCTCCATGGCAATCATTCAAAGCTAGTCCTTGATCGCTTATGTACTCTCCACTTATAAACTTGGTCCCTGTACCTAGACTTATCACTTCAAATTTTTGCGAACTGTCTCCCCGGCTTGTCATTACAACGCCAGCCAAAACTTTTCGCCGAATTGGCTCCTGTCCGGCTGCTGACTGTAGACTCTGAAACTTTGTTAACACAGCCTCGGCAATTAGATCTGCAGCTAGTGGATCTAATTGTGCAGAGGGTGGAGGTCCCAAGTATGTTGGTTGATATCTAGCTTCGGATTGTCCAGTGAAGGTGTAAAATGTGCGGATGCTGTGCAATGCAAAGAGAGCTTTGGAAGCAACGTTCGCTTTGCCTTTCTTTTTACTTCCACCCATGCCAATAAATTCCTGTCCATCAACAGTGACTTTAAACTTGAACTGTTTGGCATTTTGATCGCCCTCCTCCCCAAGGAATTCATACTGGGTGCCAGGATGAAATTCGTTCAACAGCATTACTGGATGTTTCCCTGTATCAGTTTGCATCTGGGGAGCTTTGGTTCTGATTGATGGCATAGATACATCAGCTGCTGGACGCTCAGTTTCGCTCTCTGGCATGGGCTGGTCGCCATTTCCAAAGGTTTTCATGAGCGTTCCAGTGTTATCCGAGGTAAAATCGGAAACAGACGCAAGACCAGCTTGCTCCTGGCTTTCTGCACGCAGTTGCTTAGCTGGCGTACGCATCTGAGTAATAAAAGAACCCAAAGCACTTTCAGCAGCATTGTGTTTCGCTTTCTGTTTCGAGGAGCCCTTTCCTTCGAATGTGTGGCCATCTACAACAACCGTCACTACAAACGTAGGACAATGTGTGGGACCTTCTTGTGAAGTGACTTCATAATTCAAACCAGGTCGTATCTCGTTAAGTTGCATTAAGGCATTTTTAGGCCCTCTCTGGACGAGGCCACTTAGATTACTACCTCTTCTTCTATTCGGTCGCCGTTTCTTTTTCGGTGGCGGCGTCCCCGAATCTGGCTCTTCTTTCATGACTTCATCGCCATGTTCTACAGCTCCTGAACTAACACTTTCATCTCCTGAAGGTTGATCTCGTTTTAAAGTTTGGTTTCCAGAAACAGGCAAGTCTCCCAGTCCGGGAATAACGACATCTGTCTCAGTTTTGAACGCATCTGTACTCGCTTCGGCCGCCATTTTTACGTTTCCTACTACTGGAGACGGAACTGCCATTTTATGTGGTCATCTGAGCCTTGCAAAGGTCTAGCCGTTTGCAGGGCAAAGGCAGAAGATCATTTCTCAGTTAAGCCCCTGAGTAATGGACTGAGTCTAGGAATTGACCCACAAACTCCTGGGTCCAGTTGTTTGAAGGCCGATTAGCGCTTAACCCGGGGTTAAATTAAACCCAGGTTTCTTTTTCCTGTGTTCAAAAGCATTTTCTCGGATAATTTTCTCTGTTATTTTTAGAGCTTCTAATCATCGACTTGTAGACAAAAAGAATTAAAACAGAAATGCTTTTTAAGCTTTCAAATCTGAATTCGAATCTTACACTAACCCTGGGTATCTTAACCCAGCTTTGAACAACTTGGCCCTACTCTGCAATCAAGCATTTTGGCTACAACAGTTATATATTTTTAATTTTTTTTGGTCTGTAGTCTGTTCCCCACAAAGTTGTGTAAGTCTTTTGTTTCTCTTATATTGAGTTTTAGTTCTCTTGAAAATGTCTTCAAAATTGTGCATTTTACATGGATATTGAAACCAATTCATGACAAAATAATAGTTATTACAAAATATTGGATGTATATGTTGCGGTTCAATTTGTTCTTGGTTAAATTTATTTTTCTTTGTTTTGGGGTATGGTAGTTTGAAATAAATGAAAAATACATTTTAAACCAAGGATAAAATAATATTGAACCACAACATATACATAGGATCTGATCAAGGCCGATATTTTGATACACAGTGGTATTGTGTAATCTGTGTGCCGTGACTTTTTACAGACGGCTATAAAAGCAAAACCATTTAGTTTGTTTCATTTACTGCAGTTGAAATGAGACGGTCATTGAAGTTCATGAGATCTAGAGAGCAGAAACAGCTGTGTATTTTCTTAGTTTCTATGGCTAAAACAAACAGAATGAAGAGTAGTTCCGTAGTTCAGCTAAAAATTTGACTCTGGATTGTTACAAAACAAAATTGAATATCGCAACATTTACAATATATTTCTGCAATGTGCATATCAAGGAGTACAAGGAGTTCATCCCATCAAGCACATAAGATCCAAGTGTAACAATTTTTTTATGATTCGTTTTTGCTTTAATTGCGTACTTTAATTAAGCTTATAGTTTTTCACTCTTTATTTAGTATCTTTAAGCAAGTTTTGGTGTTTAGTTCTTGTGTTATTTTTCAACCCCTAGTTAGCCTCTCTTTACAACTTTCATCTTCATTAACATCTTTTTTTGTCAGCTTCTTTAGTTTGCTTTTCTGTATGTTCCACATATTCTACCGTAATTTACATGTAGTTCTGCAGTACAGTTTGTTCAGTTCTTTTTGGTCCATACTAACCGTAGTTCTGTTTAGTTTCTTACAAGTCTCTTTGCATTATTTGCAGTCTTCTTCACAGCAGGGTCGAAACAATGTCAGTGTATTTTACAGTCATCGCTTTTTGCAGTCTTCGTTATTTCCTTATTCTAATTTTCCTTGGTCGCAACTTGTAAGTTTTTGCTCTTTTATCGTTTTAGTTTCAACCCACTCAGTTTGTATCCACGCTGTTTGTATCCACACTGTTTGTACCACACATTTAACTGATTTCAAGTACCAAGCTTGTTGGTTGCAATAAATTTTCGTTCAAATTTGGTTTGTGGTGTTGATACTAAAGCCCAAGAGACTTTTACCCTTATTGTAGTTTCATAATCATTTAGCATTGTGCAGTATTTTTGGAAAGTGAGAGTATTTCACCTTGTTGCCAAGAGTCGTGGAAAATAATAGCTACAGCCTCGGACAAAATGTGTCAATGAGACACAATGCCTATTTTTTTTCCTGTCATCCTTGCAAAAATAGAAACTCTCGCCAAATAAACAAGTGCTTTCCCTCAGCCCCTTCCCCCTTATCCAATGTTGTTTACAGAAACACAAGAATTAAAAACATCATTGAATATGGGTTGGCTTATTTTTCACTGTTTAGAGGAAAGGGTACTATAGCGTAAAGGTTAAAAAACAGACTGAACCGTCTCTGCAGCTTTATCCCAAGTTGTAGCTGTCTCTAAATGTTATGTCAAAATTTAACACAGCATAAAGAAGTTAACAAACCTTCACCATTTTCCAGCTTCACCCGAAGAAGGCCTCTCTTTTTCCTTCCTGGATGTTTATCACCTTCACCGGAAACTTGCTCGTGCGGAGAAAAGATACGTGCATCACCACATGGTGAGGTGTTGATATACAAGTGGAATTCAACATAATCTCTTAAGCCATACAAACCACTCTCTTTTTTCTCAAAAATGGACTCTTCCTCATATCCTTCAGCACATAGTTCCAACTGAGAGAACAAGAAGCGCAGAAACGATCTTCTTGCAATGATTTCTCCATGGCAATCATTCAAAGCTAGTCCTTGATCGCTTATGTACTCTCCACTTATAAACTTGGTCCCTGTACCTAGACTTATCACTTCAAATTTTTGCGAACTGTCTCCCCGGCTTGTCATTACAACGCCAGCCAAAACTTTTCGCCGAATTGGCTCCTGTCCGGCTGCTGACTGTAGACTCTGAAACTTTGTTAACACAGCCTCGGCAATTAGATCTGCAGCTAGTGGATCTAATTGTGCAGAGGGTGGAGGTCCCAAGTATGTTGGTTGATATCTAGCTTCGGATTGTCCAGTGAAGGTGTAAAATGTGCGGATGCTGTGCAATGCAAAGAGAGCTTTGGAAGCAACGTTCGCTTTGCCTTTCTTTTTACTTCCACCCATGCCAATAAATTCCTGTCCATCAACAGTGACTTTAAACTTGAACTGTTTGGCATTTTGATCGCCCTCCTCCCCAAGGAATTCATACTGGGTGCCAGGATGAAATTCGTTCAACAGCATTACTGGATGTTTCCCTGTATCAGTTTGCATCTGGGGAGCTTTGGTTCTGATTGATGGCATAGATACATCAGCTGCTGGACGCTCAGTTTCGCTCTCTGGCATGGGCTGGTCGCCATTTCCAAAGGTTTTCATGAGCGTTCCAGTGTTATCCGAGGTAAAATCGGAAACAGACGCAAGACCAGCTTGCTCCTGGCTTTCTGCACGCAGTTGCTTAGCTGGCGTACGCATCTGAGTAATAAAAGAACCCAAAGCACTTTCAGCAGCATTGTGTTTCGCTTTCTGTTTCGAGGAGCCCTTTCCTTCGAATGTGTGGCCATCTACAACAACCGTCACTACAAACGTAGGACAATGTGTGGGACCTTCTTGTGAAGTGACTTCATAATTCAAACCAGGTCGTATCTCGTTAAGTTGCATTAAGGCATTTTTAGGCCCTCTCTGGACGAGGCCACTTAGATTACTACCTCTTCTTCTATTCGGTCGCCGTTTCTTTTTCGGTGGCGGCGTCCCCGAATCTGGCTCTTCTTTCATGACTTCATCGCCATGTTCTACAGCTCCTGAACTAACACTTTCATCTCCTGAAGGTTGATCTCGTTTTAAAGTTTGGTTTCCAGAAACAGGCAAGTCTCCCAGTCCGGGAATAACGACATCTGTCTCAGTTTTGAACGCATCTGTACTCGCTTCGGCCGCCATTTTTACGTTTCCTTAGGGCTCACGCACACGTGCCTTTCAGTTTCAAAACGAGGCCATCCGAGGGAGAGCGAGCCTCAACCTAAGGGGCCAGGGGAGAGGAGATTTTAAATAGGGGAGAGGGGAGGAGGGAGCTCTCTCCCTTTTTCGCTTCCATCTTTCCCCGTTTTCTAAGCACTCTTGAAGAGGAGGTTGAAGTTCTCGGTGCGGGTGATTCTGAGTCGGACCTGGTCGGACAAAGAAGAAACAGAAAGAAAAAAGAAAAACTCCGGTCAAGAAGGAGAACAAAATGATATCGAGGAAGATAATGATATAAGAAATGAGGCTGCTGCATTCTGGTCCTGATTCTGGTGTATACTTTTTGCTACTTGATAGAACTGTCCAACTGTTGATACAAATAAGACCAGGCCGGATGTAACAGTTCAGTTAGACGAAATGAGAAGTTCAGGAGTGAACACGTGGTTTATGTTTCGGTCCTGAGTGAACGAAGGTAAATATCATTTTTTTAATCTTTACCTTAGATTTCATTTTACAGTTCAGCTGCATCCCACTGTTCGGTTACACAGCAGGAACTGTCGTGTCAACATCGATTTTTTCTCCCAACAGCGAGAAAGAAACCCATTAAAAAAGCAATGTTTTTTTGCGGTTTCATGTTGGTGCCAAATGAAGAAACCTGCATGATTGGCTCTCCGCGGCTTGCCTTGGGTATTGAAAAACCCCAGTTATTTCACCGTAAATCTCATGGGCGATTTCTTTCTTCTTTTTGACGTAACCATGGATATTTACCATTAGTAAATTTATCTTGGAAAAGTCGCACGAACCACGCCAATTTCCCGCAGTAAAAGGGACGGTAAAAGGTCCCGTGTAACCGCACCTATAGATTTGTATTTTAACAAGTCAATCAATGTGTTTTTCCCATGTAGATGAATTCGCTTACAATTTTTTTTATTCTTATTCTTAATATCTTCTTTAATTTGGCACTGTTTTCTCAAGAGCCTTATAAGATAACCGAGTGCTAAAGGAAAAGGGCAAGGGGTAAGGACATTTATTTACTATAAAATTTGCCATATTAACATTAATTCAGAATTTTTTTAATAGGTATTTGCAGTTGCGATAATCGTCCTCGAAAACATGATGTCGTGAACATATTGTACGGTATGTTTATTCATAAAGTGAAAGCGATTCCGCAAACATTTTGCTCTATTTGAATTTCTAATACTATGTGGTTTCTGTTTGAACGTTCAGTGTAAATATTTCTATAGAAAATATTTACACTGCACTGTCCATTAATGTCGAATTAATCAACTCCTTTAACGCGTTTACGTACATGTTCTGCTCAATCGAACAATGCTGATTATGAAAAACTATCCTACAACCACATCATTTTTATCTGGGTTAAGACCGTTGATTCCATAAAACAGTTTTATTATTAAGCCTTCAAAATGAAGTTGGTCAGTTTGGTAATTTTCTTTGGATTAATTTTTGTCTCCTACTTAGAGGCGGCTAAATCTTTGAACAACAAACCAAGCGGTAAGATGCAAAATCAACAGCGAACGTAACCTCTAATTTTTACCTCTAAACTGGATTTTTTATACTTTGTTTTTGTTTTGGATTTGAGGCTTCTAAATCTTGTTATTCTTATTTGTTCTTCCTGAATTATTTACTTTTTATTTTTTTTAAATTACGGTTAACATGCTCTCGGCTTGACCCTAACTAAAGCGGCGCGCGAGCTTTTTCAACTTAACTCGTCTCTCCAAGATTGGAACACTCTTTTTCACAAACTAGCTCAATTAATATAATTTTTGTGTCTTTTTTTAAGCCCACAGTGACAGAGCTACCATCGTTAACAGCGGCGACACCATCATTTTGCATCCAGCCCTCAGGAAGGACACTGAGAAGTCATTACATTGCACGAAGACTGCTTGCAAATGGAAGCCATGTTCTTATAAAGCAAAAGATTCCTCGACCTGCTTGAATTACGCAAAATTCATCATAATTGGCCAAGGAAAAATGAAAGGAAAACCTATCAACAGTGGGGACACAGTGTCTCTGTTCTCTACTAAGTTCGGTCCTCACTACAAGCTGACTTGCAGTAGATCTTCCAAAGTAAAGTGTCACTTAGATAAGTAAGTAGTAAAGCTGCTTGAATTTGGAATTGCCTTTTGCGAGATCATACTGAAGCAACAGAAGACGAGGAACTCAAGCTGTTTTGATTTTTGCCTTGCATATTTTTGCTTTATGAGTTAGTTTTTACACCGAAGTAAGAAATTAAGAGATAACGCGGCATTGCAAATGGTTAAGACATAGGCGCTATATTTTTAATCCCAGCGTTGATCTCTCTAACTCCCACTTTATGCTATTTTTTCTAGATTCAACCGCGAAATGACAGGAAACAACTGGTTGATCTACCAGTTCGCGACTTTTCAGATATTTTCTAGAGACACAGAGGATTTGAACCCAGTGCAGTATGGCGATGTGGTGGGACTCAAGTACTTATTCAGTTCCAGCAAAGCATGGCTGACCAGAAGCGGCAAATTCCTTTATCCGCGTAGCTGTAGCAGAAATGACAAAACCTCTTGCGCAAAAGAGGACACTTTCACAGGCTTCAAAATCTTTAAGATGAAGTCGTAACGTGACAGAAGAGTCAGCATGAATTCCTCAACATAAATTTGAACATAAACGGATTAGTTTGTTGACTAAAGGAGCTTGGGTGAAATGTCTTTAAGAGTCTTAAGGGATACCTTTATTTTTCTCAGTTTTTGCAACTTAATAAAGAAGTTGAGGAATGAGCCCTGCACGTGTAATGGTACTTCACTGATTTCGCACATTTGAGAAGACAAACCGATCCGTGTAGTTTCGGTCATGATCCCTAGTCTATTCCGTAACCCTACCATGAAGAATCATCTTCTTGTTGTTCCTTTTTTTTTCAGTATTCACATTCCCTTTGCATAATTTTCCCTGATCATCCCGAGCGGCTCATTGAGCATTCTAAGAAGGCACTACTAGGAGAGAAACTAAAGCAGAAAGATTAATCCAAAACGTTTTGCCTGCACCCAACTATAGTACTACGTTCTAACATTAGGGACTCGGACCATCAGAAAAGTTATGGGGGTTGGAGAACTTTCGAGTTGCATGAATTTTTTTTTCGTTCTCATTTTCCTTGTATGATTCTTTTCAGGCGCATTAATATTTTTTTTGGGTTATTTGGCGGGCACGACTTTTTTCATTTAATTTTCCTTTGCGCGAATATTTTTTTCCTACTTCGCCCCTTCTCCCACAAGTTTCCGTCCCGTTATAAGTAATGATGCCTCTTCTTTAGTGATCGACGATGGCCTCGCCTTTTTTTCAAAGAACGTTCTGAAACTGCGAGATTCGCATTTTAAAGCAACGTCTCCCTCAAGTGATTTGCCGTCATTTACTATAACTTAGTCTTCCTCTAAAAACGCAGATCAAAATCGACCTTATTCATTTAGCTTTCAGCACTTTAAACTGCGGGCTGTATGTCCAGGAGAGTAGGTTACGTAAGTTTAGGTGATAGGTTATTTCACCAGTGCTTCTCAGGGTGCGTAAGGGTTGGTGCTAGGGGGCGATACAAACTATTAAAACGTATGCCAAATCCTTGATCCCTTATACAGCCGTCCTCCTAGTACTGAATGTCCCATAGTTCTTCATGGTCTCCAAAACTTTAATACATGATGCAATAGTCCCCAGTTGCTGGGGTTTAGGCCTAGGCCAAACGTCGAACATTTCGTGAGGCGAACTGAACCAAACTGTAATTTAGGTTGACCTAAATTAAATTAAGATCATCTGTCGGGTCAGCCGGCCTCGAACTTAGGACGCATCGAACCAATCAACTGCATCAGATCGGTAATAAATTTTCTCCAAAACAATGCTAAATTTATTAATTTATTAGTTTAGTTCGTCTTAAAATGGCCATGAATTCGTTAGTACTCTTAAGCATTTTACTTTTGATGGGAAAGTTTTGTATTGAAAGCAACACAAACATTCGACAAAAAGGGTAACAAATTTGCATCAAACTGACATCCTATTCATTTGTTGTTTGTCGACTTCCTAACTTAATCAATAGCTATCTATAAAGCCATGATGATTTTGCTAATTGTCTGGTTTAGCTTTCAGTCATGTCAAGTACCTCTCTCGAAACATGTTCTTGGAATCCCTAAACTTGTTTCGCATTTAATGCGTAAGAAACATCTCGTAAAAGCCACATAAGCTCCTAAAAAAATCAGTCTTCGTTAAACGACTTCAATTCTGTTCAACCGATCACAAAGCACTTTTTGAGCATGAAGTTTCTCGGCTTATATATTTTTCTGGCATTAATCTGGACGGATGGCGTTAAGTCATTAGCTTCCGTCAGTCTTTCAAGCGGCAGAGTGAGATTGAGTGGCTCTGTATATGTAACAATGCAGAGCAATGTAGAAGATGTCTGGACCGCTTTATCAAGAGGTAAGAGACATTTGATTTGAAAGAAAAAATGCTTGAACATCGGTTGTTATCTGCTAAAGTTTCACGGGACATGAAAAATTTGAAGTAAAATGGTAGGGTAGATATATGATGACAGATTACAAAACAAAAGGCCCCATTTGAAAGCGGCTCGAAGCACCTAATCACTTATTTTCGCCATTTTTCTTACAACAAAGGTGAAATTAATTTTACGTGTTTTCTTTTTACAAGTCTACAGATATCCTATTATTAAGAGTGGGGACCTTATTGTGCTGCGAATAGCGCACAGCAGTTACTCCAGTTACTTGATGCGTTGCACGACTAGTACCTGCCACTGGAACACTTGCTCTGGTAGTCGGAGTATGACGCCATCACTATGGTCTTCCTGTAACTCATATACAAAGTTCTACATCACAGCGATGGGAAAAAAGAACGGAGAACCCATCAACAGTGGAGACACTGTGTC